CACATCAATGCCTTGATCATCATTTAAATACTCCTTAATACAATTTCAGATAAAGTCCCAATGGATGTCAAGATGTTCACCTTTAGGCTTTGCGAAGGAATTAATGATTTCTACTTTAACCCCTATAAGTTTGGCTAACTTTTTATGATAACCTGATTTCAGCTTTTGGGTAAACACTTTCTCTTGACATTATAGTTCTATCCCAAGCAAAATTGAATATTCCTCAATAGTTGACACCAAATCTTCCTGATTAAAAATGAAGCATCTATAGGATGGATCCCAAAACTGTATAGCTACCTTAATCAGCTGTTTATCGATCATTACTAGAATAAGGAATGCAATCTATTTGTACTTCTTACAAAAGCTTTCTTTCCTTTCTTCACTTAACTGACCTTAGATGGTGGCTAAGTCTTTTAAATTATTCTGTGTGAGATCCAAATGCACCTTATTGGGTAACTCAGACACATAGCCAATAGGCAAGCAATCTTTATTCTTTTGTTGAGCTTTTTTCGACCAAACATATACTTCATTATATGGCTCACATGGGACACTAACTGAGGATCGACAAATCTATAGTTCTATGGGATCCATGAAAACTTCTTGGGAGAAATATGTCCTAGAGCATATATCTTAATGCAGAACTATATGATATGATTAATACAAAAAGGAAAAAAAATGAAACAAAATTTAGTTAGTGTGAAGATGCGATTTGAGAAAAAACATTTTTTTGTAAGTTTTTAGATTTCTTTTGTTTTGTTTTGTTTTGTATTACACACAACTTTTATTCTTAGGTATTTCTTACAAGAAGGTGGAGATATTCTACCTAAGGCTAATTTTCTACGCTTATTACATGCTGAGTTTGGATTTACACGTGTCTAAAGGTTTCCAAATTGTTCCTCATTGTTGTCCATGTTAGACTAGTGAGAGACACCGATCTTCACCCATTATAGGCTATGAACGAAAATGGTTCAATTTGAGTAGAAGTATTTCGTTTGTCATTGTAGAGGTTATCACCTCACGAGGGTATAGGTACTCTACTTCCTTCTACAAGGGACGTAGCTTAGATATAGAGCTTATACATGAGATGCATTATGTCATTGTATACGCAAATATATCCTAATTTATTAAGAGTAATATATATAGAAAAATAAAGCACAAGAGGCATAGTAAAAGAAACGTAAGGGAAATTTTTTTCTTTTTGATTTTTTTTTCTTGACTTTTTTTTTGTTAAAAGTGAAAAATAAAAATCTAAGAAACCTATTAGGACTATTTAAACCAAAATTTGAGGATAACACGTAGTTAATTTTGGCCTGACTCTCGAAAATAAAAAGCATCCTCAGCGGAGTCGCCAAGTTGTTGCAACGGCTTTGGAGTCGCCTGACGAATTTGGAAACGAAAATAAAAGAACGAAAAATGGAATCGCCACCAATCTTTTTTGGCTAAGTGAGATTGGTCACCTATTAAAATTTATCCTTTTAATAAGATTTTAAGATTAATTAAAATTTATTAAAAGAGTAATTTTATGGTCTACGAAATAGTCTGCGAAATAGTCTGGGTTTGGGAGTCGATTATGTGAGGGGAAGGATTAGCACCCCCACAACGCCTGTTTATAACGGTACCAATTAACTACGTGTTATCCTTTTGATTTTGATAAAAAAACAGTCTCATTTTCGGTGTTTGAAAAATAATTTTCTTGATTTTTTCGTTTATTAGAAAAAATTTTTAAAGTTTATTATTCAAATTTTATTCGAGGAAAATAAATTAGAACCTTTTTATTGAAATAATTATTAAAATGTTTCAATACGTTGGTAACATTGAAAGAATTTTTTCTCACCTAGAGATTTCTTAGGAATCGTTTCTCAGAATACCTTAGAATCTCATCCTCGGATGCTCAAATTTATTTTAAAAAAAAACCTTTATATCGTGCATGCAATGCGAATGCTAGCATGTTGATGCACACATTTATATTTTTTATTCAAAAATTTTATTAAATTTTATTATTATTTTTAATTAAAAATAAAAAAGAGAAATTTTTATTATATTGAAGATTCTCTATAAATATTCCAATACACTGATAATATTTAAAAAATTTCTCACCTAGGGATTTTTTTTAAAGCACCTCTACTCGAAATACTTTTAAAATCTCATCGTTGGATAAAATTTCCTTTTTGTCATTTTTTATTACCTATTCTTAATTTATTAATTAGTTTTTATTTATTATTTTATAAAAAAAATTTATTGTATTGAAAATTTTTTATACATACTCCAATACATCGGTAGTATTTAAAAAAAATCTTTTCACATAGAGATTTCGTAGGTATCACTACTCGGAGTACCTTTGAATCTCATCGTCGGATAAAAAAATTTTTTCTTATTTTTTATTATTTTATAAGAGTTATTTTAAAAATAACAAAATTATCACAAATTTTTACTATATATTTTATTATTTATTTTTATTTGTTAACATTATAAAAAAAATTATTCTAGCAAATTTAAACATTTTAACATGCATAAATATTAATAACAAAAATAATATTTAAAAAATTCAAAAAAAAATTTTTTTACCTGAACTTAACCGGTTAACGGTCTGGCAATCTGGTAGCATTTAGTGATTCGATGTCGGTTCAGTTAGACCAATCAGAAGCTAAAGGTGAAATGGGTCATCGAGTCGAGTGCGTGGACCTCGGGTCGAGTCAAGGGCTGACGTGCGAATCTTTCAGCTCAAAATGACGTGGTTTTGACCATTTAATGAAATGGCATTATTTTGGCTTGCAGTTTTTTATAAAAGTAAAAAAAAAAAATTTCTCTCATTTTCTCATTTTCCTTTCTCTCTCTACTTTCTCAAATCCTCTCTCTCTAGAACGATCGATCGGTCATCATCCGTCGCTCTGGCCGCCATTGGTGTTGGTCGACCGCAAATCGCCGGTCGTCGGTCACCAAAAAATCTCAAAAACTCCTAAAAAATTTTTCTTTGCCCTCTGAGCACAGATCTGAGCTTGGTTTCACCTGAAAGTGTCCCAAATGGCCTAGATTGACTTTCAAAGTTTCGTCAAAACTTTTTTTTTATTATTTTTGACTTTTGATATTTCTTTTTTCTTACTGACTTTTCCTTTTCTTTTTTTTCACAAGGAACTCTCAGTGCTAGGTTCCTTCCTACTGAAGGACTGTTCTTTGTTTTTTTATGAATTTTTTTTATTTTTTTTATTGTGGTTGGGTGTTTCGGGTTTTTCAATTTTTTTATAGGTGGGGGGATTGGTTTGTGTCGAAGGTACCTAGCAGGGTGCATGGAGGCATGGTTTTCGAGACGGGCAGGGACTGGATTGTTTGGGTGTGAGAGTTTGGGGGTTCTGGGTGAGAGAGACTTAGAGTTTCTGGGTGTTCAAGAGCAGTGTGACTGGGGTTTCTGATGAGTTCCAGAGCAGTGTCTGGGCATAGAAAAGGGAATGCCTCCAGTCTTCTCTCTTTGAGCTTTTGGGTTTTCAAATTGGTTTTTGTAAAGATCTAGAATTGATTGGGCATGGGGCTTTAGGAGTGTTGATAGGGTGGATAAGGTTTGCAGGGTATGGGTGATTAGAGGGATGGGTGATCGAGGGGTAGGTGGCTAGTGGTGCCGTGCAAGGCACCACTGCCATCAGCCTTTTTTTACTTTTTTGTATTTTTGTATTTTTATATTTTTGTATTTTGTATTTTTGTTTAATTAATAAATTAATAAAATAAAAGGTAAACAGGCTTTGCGCTTAAAAGCGAAATTGGACTTCAGGCCCAATCAAAATCAAATCTATTTGAATTGAAATCGAACCAAAAGCCCAATCAAATTGAAATTAGGCCTCAGCCTAATTGAATTGCAATCAAAACTTAATTCGAGAATCTGATATCCAATAAATATTCAATCGAGACACGATTAACATTCAGATAAATTTAATGTCTACCCTAATTCGTAGGCATACCCATCCCTTTTAAAACTCCTTTTTTGGGCTTAAATGCCCATTATCGTACCAAACATATTAAACCTCCAAAAATCATAGAAAGTTGAAGTTGAAGATTATTTTTTTTATCACTTTTAAAATAGTTGTAGTGATTTAATTATCGTGGTTATAAAATTATTAAAATAATTTGATGAGTAATTATTTTTGATTATCATGATTAATATAATATTATAAATAATTTTTTATATTGCATAAAAAATCATTGAAAATTAAAAAAAATCAAAATAACCTTATTATTATTATTATTATTATTATTATTATTATTATTATTAAGCAAGCAACGTTATTAATTTTTATTGAATAAAAAAAATTATAAAATAAAAATCATTGTTCTATAAAAAGATATAAGGTATGAACAAGTTCTTATGAGCACGATTCAAAATTATTAACATTTTCATATTTAAAATTATATAAATTGTCTTATATAAAATGATTAAAAAGTGAAATTTTGTTTATAAAAAAAGAGAAACATATTTTGATGGACACCAATCCGAAATTTAATTTATTCTAAAATGATTTGAAAATTACTCCCCTTGATAAAATTTTTTTACGCTTTAGGATGAAGATCTAAACATCATATAAAATAATATATAATTATTATCAATAATCTAAGAGCTTTGTTATGTAAAATTCTTAAATTATTTATTACTTAATACATTGATATGATAATTACATCACATTCTAATTTAAAGAGATAAAAAAAAACCAAAAATTAAATTTTTTATTGAAAAACCTTGCAATGGTTAATTAGGTCCAAATTTTGGCATCAATTGAAAATGATTTTGACTTATACAATCCTCTCCAAAATTTAGTTAAGTATGCTTTAAAACAAAATCACAAAGAGATGGCTTGCAATTTTTTTAGTTGAAATTAGGAAAACATTCTTACAATAAAAAAAAAAGACATCAATGATAATTCATCCTATTCTTGTCATAGTAGACCAGCCAGGTTACCAAATTGATAAAAACATTTAAATTAACAAGAATATGTGCACAAAAAATACCAGGTAAAACATTTAGGAAATGTATTTCTTTTTAATAACTTCAAATTTCAAGTCAGAATCACATGCAAATCTAAGTGCTTTGACTATCTTTCAGAACAGGAAAAAAAAAAAAATTCACCCCAACAACACAAAACAACGAGGCACTACTAAATGCCCATTTATTCAAATCAACCATGAAACCCCTCCACAATTTCACTCAATTCCAAAGACTTTCTTCATTTGCAAAACAAAGCCATAGACTTTTTCTTGGTCAGGAAGAGACTTGGATACACTCTCCTTTTCCAGACACCCTTTAGCCCATGCAAGCAGTTTGGGGCACTCTGCTTCAATGCTGAAGTCACCACACTTCTCATAGGCATAAAACCAGCTGTAAAATGGGACCAAGACAACATCTACATAACCAAGATTTTCTCCACCAAAGTAAGGCTTGTCTCCAAGCTCTCCTTCCAACAGCTTCAGGCTCTCAATAAATTCTTTCTTTGCATTTGCCTGTTCTTCTCCCTTAGTTGCCCATATTTTTCTCCCAAGGTCAGGCATCTGCATTTTTATTAAACAATAATTTAGGTACAACACGTTATATATTATTTACGAAAATGTTTATACAGGTGAGATGAGATTTATGAAAATGAATGAATGTTATCTCTCACTGCTTGATTCAATATCAATTATACCAAAAAATAACATTCACCACAACTTTTTCTAAGTCAATGCTTAATTAGTAGACTGTTTATATATAAAAAGAAAACCCTCCAAAATTCAAAGTCAGTCTGACTAAATCAAAGAAAACTTAGACTTAGAAAAAGTAGAAAAAAGTAAAAAAACAAAAAAAAAGTACCTTCTTGTCAACAAAATCAGCCCAGAATCTGGCAATAGCTCTTTGGTAAGGATCAGAAGGAAGCAAAGGAGATTTATGATGCCAAACCTCATCAATATACTGAACCTGGATGAGTGACTCACAAACAGGTTTACCATTATGGATAAGAACAGGGATTTTTTTGTGAATAGGATTCATCTGCAAAAGCAAATCACTCTTGTTCCTCAAATCTTCTTCCTTTGACTCGTATTTTACCCCTTTCTCAGCCAAAGCAATCCTCATTCTCATTCCAAATGGACTTGGCCAGAAATCCAACAAAACTACTTCCTCTGACATTTTGATAAACTAAACAATCAAAGATTGAAACTCAACTCAAAATTTAAAAAGACTTCAAAAAAAAAAAACCGGTGGTTTTGTTTTGGTTTTGGTTTTCGATGAAAAAGAGTTTGTCAAAGTGTATTTATAGACAAAAAAATTTAGGAGCGTTGGTGCTTCGAGGGCTTCTGTTACCATAAAAGAATATTCAAACTATATGCAATTGCTTACGTCACAGGATCCATAAAAATTAGTTTAGGGAAGTTCATGGACTTTCTATAAAGATTTATTCTAGGAGTTTCTTTTACTAAAAAAGGATACTGAGATTATATGCCATTGCTTACGTCACACGATCCATAAAAATTAGTTTTTTATTTTTCTAAATATGTATTACTGACGCTTCTGTTTTCTGACTAGAAACAATGTTGCTGTTACGCAATTGCATGCGCCATCAAACATATACACAAAATTTCGCTCATCTATTACGTTTTTCATTTCATTTTTCATTTTCTTTTATTTAATTTTTTCTTTCGGTCTCAAGAAATTTGCTACTACAAAAACATTATGATTGCAATATATGTCAGTTAAATTTTGACTAAAACATTAAAAGGGTTTTTGAATTTTATTATTTTATTTAGATAACATTTTATATTTTTGTTGTATTTAAATAATATATTTAAATACAAATTAGATGGTAAATACATATTTAGATAAACTTAAAATTTAAAATTTTATTTGAATGTAAAATAAAAAATAAAAAAATATTTAAGTACAATAAAAACAAAAAAGTTTATTTAAATAAAGAAATAAAATTTATGAACTTTTTATTATTTGAACCTTAAAAATTTTTAAAAAGTTTATATATTTGTATTTTACATTTAATCATCACAGCTTATAACATTTTTTGAAGTTATTTCAGTTAGGATTTTGCTAAACCATTGTTTAGGGCATTCTTTAATATTCTCGTGATACGAAAATATTTTTTTAGATACATTAAAATTATCACAATAATTATTAGATATAATATAAATAATATTATAAATAATAATATGTTATCTAATTTTATAAATATATAAAAGGACTCGTTAGTGAAATTTTATTAAAAAATGTTTTTATTGTACTCATCAGCAAATATCACTCTTTTTTTAATGTAATCATTTGTTTATATCATGTAACATTTCTTCCCTAAAAGTTTGAGTAACGGATGCCTATAAGCAAAGATTAAAGTTAGCTACAATATTGTTCTCAATTATATGTTTAACTTAATGTGTTATTCTGACTAAATTAATGTATTATTAATTATAAATTTTTTATTATATATTACTTGGCTCAACCTCTTGAACAAGATGTTTTATCTTCAAGATATTAATAAAATAAAATAATATTTAACTTGCTTTATACAATTTGAAATGCATTTTTTAAGGGTTTTATACTTTCAGTAACTTGTTGCAAGGATTTTATCATGCCTTTGCGCCATCAGGCTTACATGAATACTATAAAATTACATGGATTTGTTATCACACCTAATTAATTGAACATGATACACCAAAGTCAGTGAAAATGTTTTTTCATTTTTTTCAATCACAAGTGTCTCGTCTGTGCTTTGCAAATGCAAGTTTAATACTATTTCTTACTTGGGTTTCAGTTTCAGGGGATCACTGAAAAATAGCCATAGTTCAAATGAAGTCCGTAAAGAATAAATTGCATAAGATTAGACACAACCCGGCATTAAAAGAAAATGTTTTACGTATTTATGCTGTAATGCTTTCCTGTAGGTGGAGGACCATCATAAAAGACATGTTCAAGACGAGCATTGCAAGCAGCACACAGAACTTCTTCGCGAGGCATAAGAATTATGGACAGATCTAATTTTGACTTCACATTGTTTCCTATAGGCTGATAATATGAAGGCCGACCAGTTCTGTCAAATTTAGTCGATGATCTGGAGGACAGGATCATGTATTGATAAATGTTCGGAATGTTGTAGGTTCAATTGATTTTAGTTGGAAATTCCTAACAAAATCAAAAGACTTACTCAAAAAGAGGCTTGTCACGGCATATGCAATGATAAGTTGCAGGTGTTTTTGTGTTCCAGTATTCTCTGCACATAAAAAAGGTGCAAACAGAATAAATTAGCAGTAGAGGAATGAAGATTATATCAATAGCAGTTAGTTCAATGCAGACAAAGATTGAAAACAATCATTTTACGTCCACCAAGTATTTTAGCACTTCAAATTTAAAGCTGCTTTGATTTACGCTTTTGTTATTTGCTTTTTGTTTTCTTCAATACAAAGTGAAAAAGGAAAAAAAAAAAACGAAAATAAAAGACAAATAGCAAAAAGTAAAAAAAACAAAAGCACCAATCAAATGGAGCTAAATGATTTTTACATGTTCCATACCAAGTGTTGATAATGCAGATGGAGTAGATTGTGACTCGGCAGGATTTAGGTAATTTATTGACACTTTACAGCTACCATGCTGGTAGGTTTTCATGTGATTATAAAAGAAATGAAGCTATAAATGACCCCCACACTAATAATCAACGAGTTACATGATCCTTAAAACTGAAAAAGGAAAATATTCCATCCGGTGCCTACACTTTGAATACTAACAGCATTGACTGGTCTTTCTGTTAATTATATATAGAACAGCTAGTCAAACTTGTTAGAGAAAATTGAAATTACACACAAGGTGTCAGGTGGTATGTTGCAGTTTGCAACAAACTGGATCTCAAGCAGGTATTTTATTGCATGAATATATCCATCAGGCATGTGAGATATGTGTTATAATCCAGGCAAGTTTCTAGTCCACATGGGCATCACATGCCATTAAAATGCCTACACATAGTGTTTAATAAAATATACTTTGTGCTGTTCTATAGTTAACAAACCCATCTATCTACTTAGCACATTAATCAATTCTATCAGTTATCCAACCAAAATGCACACAATTTTTAAGATTTAGATACCGAATTGAACAATTTTGATTTCAGAGGCCGCTTTATACAATGACAATATGTTCACGGCTACATGACATCAGATGATATCTCCTAAATTGCATTGTAAATAGATCCCTTGCTAAAAGAGAAACTTTTGGAAGGCCAAAAACAAATTTGGCTCCTTTCACCACCACTTTTGGTCCTTAACTTTTGCTTCCAGAAGCAAAATGTCCAAAAATTTGTTGAATACAAAAGCAAACAATTTACTGAAGGCTTAAAAAATAAAAATTCAACTTTCACGGATAAAAATGCTTGATTTTGCTCTTGTATGAATTTATTACTTTTGAATTGGTTTTATATCTTACCCTTTTGTTTTGATGAAATATGATTTTGCTTAATATTATGTGTTTGTACTTTAGAACTTTATCTAAAAAGTAACTATCAAAAGTAATAACCAAATAAACCGTAATAAAGTATGAACAGAAATTGGGAGGTGGCTCATGCATGATATTTTTATGAAGTCTGACTCCCTCTATTTCTTTTTAAAGTATGAATCACCAGAAACGTTAAAAGAAGCTTACTAACCAAGTTAGCTCAGCTACATACCATGTAATCTTCATATTCAAAAGAGATGAAATTTAGAGACAAACTCTCTGGTACTCCATTTTATTTTCACCGCCAATAGGAAAAATGCTCACATGCATGTGTCTGCACAATATACTAGTATTTGCCACCTACTTTGTAGGGATAGAAGAAGGATTCACATCATTAAGAGATTGAAATCATTCATCAAACGAGAGAAAAGTAAGAGAAATTAGATTCTGGCATACATTTTCTATTTGAATTAAGACACCTGCATAGGGGGGACAACTAAAACGAACTTTCAGGGTACCAAAAAAGGGGCTGTCAAATAGATTAGTACTAGGAAGAAATTCTTATAGCTCGGAAAAGAAAGTACGCAGAAACACTAATCTCTCAGACTAGTGGAATTCTTAGAAAATACTTAAAACCATTATCTTAGAAAGTAAAGTGCATTTTCAGAAGTTGAACCTGAAAAAGCAGTACAGTTTCTATGAATAGAAGAACATACCCAGTGAAAGCTCTCTCAGTCCCTTTTTGTCGAGTAATGTAAAATTGTTCAGGTGTAAGCTTCTTCTTCCATTCTTCGTCACTTAAAGAAGCAACGTCAACCACACCCCCACCCGTCGCTACACAGGACAAACAATCAAATATCATGAGGCAAAACAGATTCAGATTTTTAATAATAAAGGAAAAATAATAGTGCAGGGTTTTGACAGGAAAGAAGAAGAATATATATTCATCCAAACAAGCCCCAGAAAAGGTGATTTAACGTTGTTTTAGCTGTTTCATTGTTAAAAATATATTTTCAAAAAAAAAAAAAAAACGTAGGAAAAGAAGATGCTTTAATGAACTTCAAACTCATAGTACTATTCAAAAAGCACAAACACGAGCTCCACCGTTATATCTTTCAACCAAACAATAAAAGTGTTAGAATTTTAATAACTCTGATACTACTTATTAGGAGAAAAACCCCAATCCAATTGAATTGAACATTTATGTCAAGAGAAGCAAAATCAAACAAATAATAAATCAACCACACAAGAGATAATAATTTAACATGATTTGATCTAGTCAACCTATGTTCACAGATGAAAAAAAAGATCTACTAATTGTAGAGAATTATAATCATACAATCCATATCAATAATCATTCATCAAATCCTCTCAATCTCTTCTAGTCACGGAGTATTCTCAACCCAAACAAATACGTACCAATGTGCACGTATATATCATATTTACGTGGATCCTTTCAGTCTCTTTTAGTCTACTTACACACATTCAAATATATACATCCATAAGATGTGAATTTTCAGTAGTTCTATAAAGTGTTTATCCTATAAACCCTACAACTTTTTTTTTTCATATCTCACCCAATAGAGACTTCACTTATTTATAAATATACAAACTTACTTATCAAGAATCTATTTTCTCTTAGAATTCTTCTTTTGCAAGTATTTTTATCCATCAAGTAATATACATTCAATCCCAAACAAATCACTTATGAGTTTTGAGTCACTATTCTCAATAATCTCCACTTTGACTCAAATTCTATCAAATCATCAGTCTTCATACTAGACATGTTTAGCTCCAACTACAATGGAAGTCTTGCAATTATCTTCTCTTCTGTGCCTCATAGCTTCATTTATATCAATTCTCAAAACACAAACTCAAATTTTTCTCTTAAATCGAGCTCCTCTGAGCTTACCTTTTTATATGTCTCAACCTTCAACTCTGATACTACTTGTTGGGATTATGACAATGCTAATATCACTTCTTAGGCGAAAAATCCCAATCTAATCAAATTGAATATTCACACTAGCAAAAACAAAATCAAATAATCAATCAACCACACAAGAATATAAATTTAATGCAGTTTGGCTTAATCGACCTACATTAACGGATGAAAAAAAATTCATTAGTTATGAAGAATCACAATCATACTGTACATATAAATATGCACTTATAATCAATACCCATAAACTCTTTTAATCTTCTCTAGTCTATGGAGTATTTTTAATCCAAATAAACATATACCTATGTGCATCAATGCACTATATCTATGTAGACTCTCTTAATCTCTTTCGTAAATCTCCAGCAATCCTATAGAGTGTCTATCTCATAAACTCTCTTATATTTTTTTCTCATACTTAACTCAATAGAAATTTTACTTATTTATAAGCATATAAATCTGCCTGTCAAGAATATTTTTTCTTTTAAAATTCTCCTGTTATAAGTATTTATCAAATAATATCTAGTTAATCCCAAATAAATCATTTATGAGATTTGAGTTAATATTCGTAACAAAAAAAAATATTTCCAATTTCCAAAACATCCACAGGCATAAAAAAAACCCATTCAATATAATAAATACACTACACACCCAAAACCAAAGATGCTTGACATATGCAGCCATACCTCCACGCTTCTTTATGGAAAATCCACACCAAGTAAAGGTGCTGATAGATCAGCTGGGATTAACTTACTAATTTAGTTAAAAATTGAATTTTTAAATGGATGAAATCTAATTATGCGACAAAATTTAGTCAATTAATTTTTGATTTACAGTCAATTAATTCTTTATAGAGATCTTAGAGAAAAGGAAACAAAGAAAATAGAGAGAAAAAAAAAAAAGAAAAGCTGATTTTATTTAATTTTAAAATATATTAATTATATTACGTGACAAACTTTAATCTATTTTATAGATTTCACATGAAATTTTATTTTAGTTGACAAAAAAATTTAAAGAAACATTTTCATCCAAATAAAATTTAATTGGATGCAAATCTATGTTGAAAGAATTGATTGATTATAATAAAAAATAAAAGCTAAAATGATATTTTAATTATAGTTCAAAGGGCTTTTTATACCCTTTAGAAAAAAATTTTATAAGGTATGAATAAGTTCTTATGAGTATAATTCAAAATTATAAACATGTTCATATTTAAAGTCATATAAATTATTTTGTATAAAATGATTTAAAAGCTGAAAGTTTGTTTTTTAAAAAAATTTAAGGAGAAACATATTATGATGGATACCAATTTGAAAATAAATTTATCTTAAAATGATTTTAAATTTCATTCTCTCTCTCAATGATAAAATTTTCTCATATTTTTTATATGAAAATTAGATTATTATACAAAAGAATATTTAATTATTATCAATAATTTAAAATCACTATCATGTAAGATTATCTTTCAGAACAGGAAAAAAAAAAAAGAAAAGAATACATTCACCCCAACAACACAAAACAACGAGGCACAACTAAATGCCCATTTATTCAAACCAACCATAAAACATGAAAACTAAAAGTAGCCCCTCCACAATTTCACTCAATTCCAAAGGCTTTCTTCATTTGCAAAACAAAGCCATAGACTTTTTCTTGGTCAGGAAGAGATTCGGATACACTCTCCATTTCCAGACACCTTTTAGCCCATGCGATCAGTTTGGGGCACTCTGCTTCAATGCTGAAGTCACCACACTTCTCATAGGCATAAAACCAGCTGTAAAATGGGACCAAGACAACATCTACATAACCAAGATTTTCTCCACCAAAGTAAGGCTTGTCTCCAAGCTCTCCTTCCAACAGCTTCAGGCTCTCAATAAATTCTTTCTTTGCATTTGCCTGTTCTTCTCCCTTAGTTGCCCATATTTTCCTCCCAAGGTCAGGCATCTGCATTTTTATTAAACAATGTTATCTCTCACTGCTTGATTCAATATCAATTATACCAAAATATACTATTCACCACAACTTGACTTGATTAGGCATCTAATTATCAAAATTACCCCAAAAAAAAGAAAAAAAATTGAAACTCAAAAGTATCTCAAATCAAAACAGTCTATTGATTAAAGTTATCACACTAGCATTAGCAGTCAATGCTTAATTAGTAGACTGTTTGTTTATATATAAAAAGAAAACCCTCCAAAATTCAAAGTCAGTCTGACTAAATCAATGAAAACTTAGAAAAAAGTAAAAAACGAAAGTACCTTCTTGTCAACAAAATCAGCCCAGAATCTAGCAATAGCTCTCTGGTAAGGATCAGAAGGAAGCAAAGGAGATTTATGACGCCAAACCTCATCAATGTACTGAACCTGGATGAGTGACTCACAAACAGGTTTACCATTATGGATAAGAACAGGGATTTTTTGGTGAATAGGATTCATCTGCAAAAGCAAATCACTCTTGTTCCTCAAATCTTCTTCCTTTGACTCATATTTTATCCCTTTCTCAGCCAAAGCAATCCTCATTCTCATTCCAAATGGACTTGGCCAGAAATCCAACACAACTACTTCCTCCGACATTTTGATAAACTAAACAATCACAGATTTGAAACTCAACTAAAAATTTAAGAAGACTTAAAAAAAAACCCTTGGTTTTGTTTTGGTTTTGGTTTTGGTTTTCGATGAAAAAGGGTTTGTCAAAGTGTATTTATATACAAAAAAATTTAGGAGCGTTGGTGCTTCGAGGGCCTTCTATTACGATAAAAGAATACTCAAACTATATGTAATTGCTTATGTCACGGGATCTACAAAAATTAGTTTAGGGAAGTTGGTGGACTTTCTTTTACTACAAAAGGATACACAGATTATATGCCATTGCTTACATCACAGGATCCATAAAAATTAGTTTTTTATTTTTCTAAATATGTATTACTGACACTTTCGTTTTCTGACAAGAAACGATGTTGCTGTTATGCAATTGCATGCGCCATCAAACATACACAGAAATTTTCGCTCATCTATTGTGTTTTTCATTTGATTTTTCTTTTTCTTTTATTTTTTTTTTCGGTCTCAAGAAATTTGCTACTACAAAAATATTATGATAGTAATAAATGTCATTTAAATTTTGACTAAAATATTAAAAGGGTTTTTGAATTTTATTATTTTATTTAGATAACATTTTATATTTTTAGTGTATTTAAATAATACATTTAAATACAAATTAGATGATAAATATATATTTAGATAAACTTAAAATTTAAAAGTTTATTTGAATGTAAAATAAAAAAAAATTATTTAAGTTCAATAAAAATAAAAAAAAGTTTATTTAAATAAAGAAATAAAATTTATGAACTTGTATTATTTTAACCTAAAAATTTTTTAAAAAGTTTATATATTTGTATTTTACATTTAATCATCACAGCTTATAACATTTTTGAAGTTATTTCAGTACTTAGGATTTTGCCAAACCATTGTTTAGGTCATTCTAATATTCCCGTGGTACGAAAATATTTTTTCAGATACATTAAAATTATCACAATAATTATTATATATAACATAAAAAATACTATAAATAATATGTTATGTAATTTTATAAATATATAAAAGACTCGTTAGTAAAATTTTATTAAAAAATGTTTTTATTGTACTCATCAGCAAATATCTCTCTTTTTATTATGTAATCATTTGTTTATATCATGTAACATTTCTTCCCTAAGTTTGAGTAACGGATGCCTATAAGTAAAGATTGAAGTTAGGTACAATATTGTTCTCAATTATATATTTAATTTAATGTGTTATTCTTACTAAATTAATGTATTATTAATTATAAATTTTTTCTGATATATTACTGGCTCAACCTTGAACAAGGTGTTTTATCTTCAAGATATTAATAAAATAAAATAATCTTTAATTTGTTTTATACAACTTCATATGCAT